AGGGTTTAGGGTTTAGGGTTTAGGGTTTAGGGTTTAGGGTTTAGGGTTTGGGGTTTAGGGTTTGGGGGTTGGGGTTTAGGGTTTGGGGTTTAGGGTTTGGGGGTTGGGGGTTGGGGTTGGTTGGGGTGCAGGTGGAAGAGTTGCAGTTGGTGGTTGAGGCGGACTATGATATTGGGATTCGGATTCGGGTGGGCAAACCCTAAACCCTAAACCCTAAACCCTGATTTCTGATTTCTGAAGCTGAGTTGGCGAGTTGTGGATTTGTTTAAACCCTAAACCCTTTTTTGGGGTTTGCGCAGGACAAGATCATTCCCCGCGCGGTGGACTGGTTTTTGGGGCAAGTCGACGACGACTCGGACTTCGAAGACTACGACACCAACGAGGAGGAATTGTCCGCTAGGGTTTAGGGTTTAGGGTTTAGGGTTTGGGGGCGGTGGTTTAGGGTTTAGGGTTTGGGAGCTGCTTGCAGTCGGCTAGGGTTTAGGGTTTAGGGTTTGCGCGCAGCGACACGGAAGACTCGGATGAAGAAGATGACTCTTCGGATGAGGAGCCGCCTCGATCTCACAAAGGTGCGGAGAAGGTACCAAGACACGAGGGTTTAGGGTTTAGGGTTTAGGGTTTAGAGATGCGGGGGGACTCTCAAGGCGACGCGAGGCCCCATCCTCCTGCTGCTGCTGCTGCTGCTGCTGCTGCTGCTGCTGCAGGGCGTAATAGGCGTTGAGAAGGGCCCTGACCAGAAGCCGGAGTGCAAGCAGCAGTAAACCCTAAACCCTAAACCCTAACTTGTGCGTCCAGGGGGATTAAGAACAGCAGCAGCGACATCAGCTGCTGCAGCAACCTCTGCTGCTGCAGCGGCAACCCCAGCTGTTGCAGCGACGCCAGCTGCAGCAGCAGCAAGTGCCGGAGCAGCTGCTGCTGCAGTTGCTGCTGCTGCTGCTGCTGCTGCTGCTGCTGCTGCTTTTCTAATTAGATAAAGTCCTTAAGAACGTCTTTAATTGGTTTTGCCTTTTTGCTGCTCCGCGAAACGAACTAAACAAATAAGTGATGGAGACAAATTCATCCCCGTGTTGACAAAGTTCAGCAGCAGCAGCTGCTGCTGCTGCTGCAGCAGCTGCTGCTGCAGCACTTGCTGCTGTTTCAGCTTAGTTCTGCAGCAGCACTTGCTGTTTTAGCCTTTGCTGCTGCTGCTGCAGCACTGCTACTTCTGTAGCGCCGGCTGTTCCAGTATGTGCCGCTGCTGCAGCACTTGCTGCTGCTGCTGCTGCTACAGCACTTGCTGCTGCTGCTGCAGCAAGTGCCTAGCGGAAGTCACCGTGTGGTGCGTGTTGCTGCTGCTGCTGCTGCTGCCCCGTGGCCCTTGCTGCAGCAGCAGCAGCATGTGTCTCCAAGTCCCCCAGTTTGTTCCTCAAGATGTCGAAAGCCATTTGAACAATCTTTTCAGCTGGCATTACCCCAGTAGACTGAGCAGCAGCAGCAGCAGCAGCAGCAGCAAAACTCTAGCAGCAGCAGCAGCAAAACTGTAGCAGCAGCAGCAAAAGTAGCAACGGCGGGAGTAGGAGCGGCAAGGACAGTATTGGCTGCAGCAGCAGCAGCTGAATTAGCTCAGTAAGCTCGCCACGGCCAGCAAACGCAGCAGCAGCAACAGCAGCAGCAGCAGCAGCAGCAGCAGCAGCAGCAGCAGCAGCAGCAGCAGCAGCGATAAACGCAGCAGCAGCAAAAGCAGCAGCGGATATAAAAAGGAAGGCAGCACAGTGATCAGAAGCAAAGTGAAAAGGAGACAAATAAAGAGACAAATAGAAAAAGGAGACAAATGATGAAAAGAGAGAATAATAATAGCAGCAGCAGCAGCAGCAGCAGCAGCAGAAGCAGCAGCAGCAGCAGCAGCAGCAGCAAACCTCCACGGTGAAGAGGAAAGTCCTTTCGTCAGGAGACACTTCCACCACGCCCTTCAAATTCAACTCTTTCGCCTTATTCGTGCACTGGCTGCAGTACCTGCAGCAGCAGCAGCAGCAGCAGCAGCAGCAGCAGCAGCAGCAGCAGTGATAGCAACAGCAGCAGCAACAGCAGTAGTAGTAGAAGCAGCAGTGGACGGCTACAGTAGTAGCTGCAGCAAACGCTGCAGCAACGGTAGTAACCGTAGAAACAGCAGCAGCAGCAGCAGCAGCAGCAGCAATAGCAGCAGCAGCAACAGTAGTTGCGGCAGCAACCTCAGTAGCTGCAGCAACAGCAGCAGCAGCAGTTGCTGCTGCAGCAGACTATGCTGGTGCATGTACATCAGCATCAACAGCAGCAAAAGCCGCATTCGCAGCAGCAGCAGCAGCATCAGCAGCAGCAGCAGCAGCAGCTGCTGCTGCTGCTGCTGCTGCTGCAGCAGCTTACATGCAGTCAAGGGGATTTGCTACTCTAAGAATGCCGTTGCCTGCAGCAGCAAAAAGAGACAAAAGAGAAAAATAAAAATAAATAAAAGTTTTCTTTTTAAAGAAATAAAAAGAGAGGAAACAAAAATAAAAATAAAAATAAGAGATTAAGAAGAAAGAATATAAAAAGAAAAGGAGATATTTAAAAAAGAAAATGTTAAATTGAAAAAAGAAATTCATGAAATGCAAAAGGAGACAAATGGGTTTAAAAGGAATAAAAAGGAGACAAAACAGAAGTAAAAGAAAAACAAAAGGAGACAAAAAAGAGAAATTAAAAAAATAAAAAATTTAAAAAAGAAAAAAGAAACAAAAAAGGGACAAAAAGGAAAGAGAGAAAAGAAATAAATAATTTTAAAAAGAAATAAAAAAGAATTTAAAAGAGACTAAAATAATTTTAAAAAGAAATAAAAAAGAACTTAGAAGAGACTAAAATAAGTTCTCAAAAAGAAATAAAAACGAACTTAAAAGAGACTAAAATAATTTAAAAAGAAATAAAAAGGACAAAAACGAATAAATAAAAAGCGATGAACAAAACAAAAGAAAAAAAACAAGAAAAAGATGAAACACTAAAAAGCAAAAAATTAAAAAAATTAAATTAAACTAAATTGAACTAAATAAAATTAAATAAAATAAAATTAAATTAAATTAAAAATAAAATAAAAATGAAATAAAATAAAATAAAATAAAATAAAATAAATAAAATAAAATAAAATGAAATAAAATGAAATAAAATAAAATAAAAATAAAATAAAATAAAATAAAATAAAATAAAATAAAATAAAATAAAATAAAATAAAATAAAATAAAATAAAATGAAATGAAATAAAATAAAATAAAATAAAATAAAATAAAATAAAATAAAATAAAATAAAATAAAATGAAATAAAATGAAATAAAATAAAATAAAATAAAATAAAATAAAATAAAATAAAATAAAATAAAATAAAATAAAATAAAATA